AATTTCAGAACCTCCCTTTGCGGAATCCTAAAATTGAAAGGTAGTAACTTGGGAAGTTTGCTAAGGTGGATTTTATCAAGGTTATCCCCCCCCCCAAGAGATGTAATATCTCTTCCAACCTGCCAATCTCTTTGCACACCTTTCTACAATTGGGCTCCAAAACCTACTTTCTCAAGGGTTATCTCCTAAAGGCAAACATAAGTATTTCATTGGCTAAGAAGTTGTGAAGCAACCTAGAGATTCAGCTATTGAATTCAACTCATCTCTTAAATTTATCCCAGCCACGCAACTCTTCTCAAAATTAATCTTCAACTTTGAAAGGTGTTCAAATAATTTATCATCAGCAAATTGCAGATACGTTACAGTCGTTACTATTGTATCATACTTTCAACCCTCCATCCTCTAAAAATGTCCACCCTGTCAGCTCTCAAAAAATACCTTTTTGTGTTTTATATCAATATACATAACCTTTTAAAAAAATGATTAAGCAAATCTCCAACCATAATTTTGCAATAAAATTTGTTTGAACTGTTATCAATAAAAAAGTGGCCTGCCACTCATAGAACAAGTCAAAGTAATTTTACCTACCCATTAAAAAAAAAATGTCATTTTTCATATCCTTCCTTTTGAAGAAATTAAGAGCCATTTGCCATGCCTGTCCTAGATATATCATTTTTTATTGGGCTTCCCAAACATATCATCACCACTGAAGAGGAATACTATTTCCCAAATCAGACTAGATTTTTATGTGTATAGAAATTGCCACATTATTCTGTATTCTTCAGAACATATTACCTGGTATAGTGACAAGCAGACTTCCAAGTTAAACATACAATTGTACATCAAATTCCCTTGACTTGGAATTCAACAGCTACATAGCCTCCTATACCTTTGTTCAAACAACATATTTTACCAATTCCACAAGCCATCTGACAGCAATAACAAGTTTCCACATGCATTTTGAAAGGGAAAACTCACTTTTTTGGGAGGTGAGTGGATAAGCTGAAGTAAACACAAAATAACCTGACATTATTAACTTAAAATTCACTTACAATGCATTTAAACATCTTGTTTAGTTTGTAAACAGGAAGCTGTTGAATGTCCTGAACAGACTTCCATGAGCGCATAAGCAGGGACAAGAACCAACAAGCAGATTCAACTAAAGAGAAATGAAAACACAAAATCCGAAGGCTACAAATACATTATCCAAAGTTACTCCATGTAAATGATCTTGCAGCAAAGTAAAAACCTTCCACACATAGTTTACCTCATATGTCACATTGCCCCCCAATGTAGCTGGCTGGCGGAGAGATGCATTAGAAATTGAACCAGATGCCGAAAGAATGCAGATGGCACGCCTGTGTTGTTGCATGAATGACATGATCTTCTGGGCCACGTCCTAATGAATGAATCCATGTGTTAGGAAGTTTTATATAAAGACATAACTAACTCCATTGTCTGACCTGTGGAAATACCCATTATTGGCAAGTAAAAATGTCAAAATAAGATCAAAAACAAACATGGTGACATGACAGGATGAGAAGTAACATCTAAGGTATTTATTGATTCAACAAAGGAATTTAAGTAGACTGGGACCAAATAATGTGAAAAAACTGAAAACATTCAAATAAGTTTCAAGAATCTTTTGTTCATCCTGTATGCATATATGATGAAGTCTCAGAACTTTAGACATGGAAGTCAAACAATGGAGTTGCTACCCAACATGGTCAGTTACAGCAATTGCGAAAAAATTGACCATCCTCAAAAGACATTTTGAAACCTTGGTCACTATCACTTAATTTGGCTTAGCATGCTCGAGATGCCAAACAAAACGAAAAGCAGAAAAGAAAAAAGAAAAGGTACTTATGGCTTTTTTTATCAATAACAAGTCAGCAGAACTTTTATTAATGAGAATAAGTCATGGTTAGCTTGACTTAGCTAACAAGATCAAAATTACAGTAACAAAACCAAATAGAAAGCTCCATTCTATCACAAGAAGGTCAGCCTTGGAGTTTGCACTCCTAGCAATCTATTTAATCAGCCTTTCAAACTAGATGGCAGAGATCTTGCCTCCCCACTGCAGTGGGAATAAATCCAGGGAACTGACCTATCACCCCACAGCCAGCCAACTACAACCGTAGAATCCCTTTCTACTTCAAGCTCCAAATATCTCAATGACAGCCAATCCTATCCCCTCGTATGAAAAAGAAAAATTGAGCATGAATGGGATTACCGTATCTTGGAGGGAGAATCACCTTAATCAGGTCTACTCTAGCTAACCTTCCTGTATATTTTTTGTCAGTCTTTAGGATCCCGGTTAAGGTGGCCAATAGGTTGGAAAAACTAATGAGGGGTTTCCTGTGGGAGCCAGGGGAGGAGAAGAAGGACCATAGGGTTAAGTGGGAGGTGGTCTGTAGGGGTAAAAAGGAGGGAAGTTTGGGAATTGGGAACATTAGGACTAGGAACCTAGCATTACTAGGGAAATGGCTGTGGAGATTCTCATTGGAGAAAGAAAGACTGTGGGTTAAGATAGTGGGAAGTATACATGGGCTAGCAGATAATGGATGGGATTCAGGAATTCTAGCTAGAACTACAACTTCTCATTGGAAAGCTATTCAAGCCATCTTGCCCTTGTTCTCTCCATGGATCAGGTATGACTTGCACTCAAGTAACCTCATTAAGTTTTGGGAACATGTTTGGGTTGGGGATTCCTCTGTGAAAGATCAATTTCCAGGCCTTTTCACTATTTCTACCCTCAAAAATGAACCAGTCTCCTCCTTTCTTGTTCCTTCTAATTCACCTTCTAGGTTTGGATGGAATTTAAGTCTAAGAAGAGATGTCAGAGACACAGAGTTAGCCTGCACTTTAGCCTTACTATCCATTCTTGAAGGGGTCTTCATTGAGCCTTCTAAGACAAATAGCAGAATTTGGACACTCACTCCCTCGGGTTCCTACACTTGTGCCTCCTTCAAAGCACCGTTACCCTCTCCTCCTGTTGGATCATCTTTCCCTGTTAAAGAAGTGTGGTGTCGACCTATACCTCCAAAGGTTCGGAGTTTTTGTTGGGAAGCTTTTCTGGAAAGAGTTAATACAGAGGATCTATTCCAAAGTAAAAGACCCAACAGTTGCTTGTCTCCTCACTGGTGTGATCTTTGTAAATCCGATGGTGAGTCTGGATACCATTTACTAATTTCTTGTCAGTTTGTTAAAGTTATTTGGGTATGGTTTACTTCTCTGTTAGGGTGCAGGTGGATTCCCCCTTTGAATGTGCCAAGCTTATTTACTTCCATGCCTAATTGGCCAACTAAAAGGGCTAAGACCATGTGGAGGTGTGGTAGAGTTGCGGTATGTTAGACTGTTTGGGAAGAGAGGAACTCAAGGATATTCTCAAATAAAGAGAGAAGTGTGGAAGAAATCATGGAGATTATCCACATTAGGATGGTACATTGGTTGAGAACATTGGAATTATTCAAAGTGTTCTCAGTTGATGAGCTGATAAGGAATTGGAAGGAGATTGCAGATCCAGGCTCAAGTAGAAAGATTTTAAACTCTTGTTGGACTCCTCCACCTCATGGGTTTATCAAACTGAACTTTGATGGTAGCAGCATAGGAAACGCAGGGCCTTCCAGAGTAGGGGGAGTGATAAGGGATGAAACAAGGAATTTGTTAGCCATGTACTCTGGTCCGATTGGGGTGGGAGACTCCTTGAGGGCTAAGATTTTAGGAGCTATTGAAGGGATACAAAGGGTCAAGGAAATGAATATCAAAAAGTTGATTATAGAAGGTGATTCTGAAACTGTGGTGAATTGGCTAAAAGAGGACAGTTCTATGCTTTGGAAATACAGCAATGAAAAAAGGAAGTTCAAGTGGCTCACCAAGGACATGGAAATTCATTGTACATGGATAAAGAGAAGTGCAAACGCATTGGCAGATGGTCTAGCTGGGCAAGGGGTAAACAGAAACACTATATTTTGGGCTGTTTTGTAATTGCTACATGGTCAGGATGTTCCTTGGGTAGCTGGGAGTTAAGACTTTTTAGTTCCTTCCCTTGTAACTCTGGTTTTCTATATCATTAATAAAATTTCATTGTTATTGATCAAAAAAAAAAATGGGATTACCATATCCAATAGGACCAGTCTATATTCTTAAGATCTCACCTTAAGAGTTTCTAAAAATTCCTCCAGTTTCCTGAGTTTCTAGGATTACCGAGATTGCACATGTCAATGTTGAGCTCGACTTTAAGCCTATTGCCTGTGGTTACCAACCTTGATGGACTGTAACTTCAGATATGGATGAGGAAGGTTGCTGTCATCCCCTCAATATATCATCCAAGCTAGTGCACCACTCACATTGAAATTAGATGATTAGATCGATCACCTGCCCACAGGTTGTGCTTTTTCTTCAAATATTCTGAAGTTGCTTTTTTTCCCGTATTGTCCAAAGAGTAGCTTTTCTCTTGTACATGATCTTACTCTTCTCCTTGGGTGGGGTGGAGAATTTGGATCTTAAACAAGCTTTCAACATCCACCTGAGGTAACCACCTCACACCAAATAAAGAGGAAATGCTCCCAAATTCTAGAGACAAAAGGGCAACAGATTAGTAAATGGAAGTTAGTTTTACTATTCATCTTACAAAGGATACATCCATGAGGAGAAAGGGGCTAAGCGGGCCTTCTTCTCTAAAGCACCTCACAAGTATTAATTTCAATAGAAACATATGTAGAAAAAAGCCCTTATTTTGGGTGGGGCTGGGCCGCTGGGCCTGACCAAATTTCCTTAAAAGGAAACACCTTGAGGAAGGGAGGGAGGGAGGCAAAGAGGGTTGAAGGAGGCACAAGAGAAGAATCCACTAGAACCAAAGACCCAAATAGATTATATTTCAAAAGAAAGAACCAAAAGCCTAAATCCTTTTGTTAGGTTCTCTATCAAGGAGAGATACAACATCAAGGTACTTCATTAATCTAACAACCTCTTCTAATCAATGGTCCTCACTTTTAATCTTAATAAGACTCCTGCACATGCATCAGATTCTGATTGCCATGTCCATTCCATGCAATAATGGAGCTATCCTTGTGTTCTTTTCCAGCCATTAAAGGATTCTTTTTTTTAATGTCATTTCCAGCCATTAAAGGTTGCACTTTTCAATGAGGAAGGAAAAGTGGAACAATTGGAAACATGCAAGGACAAAGTAGACAATTTGACATTGTATGTCAGGTCACCATTAAAATATGTCAAAAATCAGAATATTCGACTATTAACAGAGGTTAGCATTGTCAATCATTCACCAGGAAACATAAGATTTTTTTTTCTTATCGGTGAAAAGATAAGAAATATAAAATATTAGTGAATTATTCACATTCTGTAAGAAGATAAATATCTTCTTTTAAGGATTTTGATGTCATAAAACCATAAGTAGTTCTCAAGATTCAGAGTTGACCACTATGTCCATCTATTTTAAGGATTTTGATGTCATAGAACCATAATTAGCTCTCAAGATTCAGAATTAACTGCATATGTATAGACCAATATTGCATTAAGGAATGAGTAAGAGTGCATACTTCTCCAGCAGCTACAGTAATGACATGCGGAGTAAAACCTTGCCCTGCATTCCCTGCATCAATAGATAAAATATGAGCAGAACATRTACGTAAATTACATACCTAAAACTTATAAGAAACTAATGGAGTCACAAAGTTTAAAAGCATTAATATAACACAATACCAAAATGAAATCATTCACACAACAAGATATCAGAAAACAAAATCAAAGTAGAAAAAACATTTAGAAACAATGACATTAAGGACTATACAACATCAACTTTGTACCTAAGTAAAACATTCAAAAGAACCTAGAAGTAGCTCCAAATAGGTGATAAAATGAGAGAAAGTAGACTAAGATGGTTTGATCATGTGCATATAAGATCAACAACAGCACTCGTAAGAAGAAGTGATCTATTGCAAGTTGGAGACCTGGAGGGCTAGAAGGGCTAGGGGTAGACCAAAAAGGACATGGGTTGAAGTAGTTAGAAATGACTTAAGTGCCCATAATTTAACAATGGATCTGGCGTTAACAGGATGGAAATGGTGAAACAGGATTCATGTTGCCATCCCCATATGATGACCTAAGTATAGCATTCAACTAGAGAGATGTCAAAAGATCATGATTGTGCTTGCCCATTTTCTCATCTGGTCTTTATTTATGGCTTTGGCATGCAAAGTAATGCCTAGAAAAAGTGTTCATAAAGGATTTCAATTGGTTTATGTAATAAAAGCATAGAGACAAGTGATGACCCAAGGGCAAGCCAGCTGTGGATCATCATCAATTTTTTTGATGATTTACTGTTAAAAAATTATTAATAGATCAGCAAATAACAAGTACATGCATGCCATAGCTAGGATAGCAATTACTACCCTACTACTTCAAAGCATACTAGTTAGAAACAGGCCCAAAACAATTGATTTCTAGTGGCTCCTCGCTTAGCCAGAGTGTCAGCCATCCCATTAGCTGTTCTTGGCACTCAATGCATCTTTGGTTTTAGGCTCCTAATCAGTTGCTTGAGTTGTTTCGTTTCATTTCTGTAGCCCCATACTGCTTTCTCCATATTTTCCAGCCAGTCAATGATAGTCATGGAGTCCCCTTCCACAATCAAATTATTGATATTCATCTCCCTAGCCTGACAGAGCCCTTGGAGTACAGCAAGTAATTCAGCCTTCATAGAGTCTCCTACACTAAGTGATCTTAAGAATAAGGCAATAACATCTCCATTTTGGTTTCTAAAAACACCTCACATTCCCAATGGATTCATGGACCTGGATCATCATCATTATCATCTAATCCTTATCCCAAATATATGGGGTCAACTAGACAAACTAGTTGTGGGTCAGTTGGCAAAAGGTGCTGCCAATAAAGATTAAAGAAGCCAAAATTATCTCTCGGGAGCAGAATACCCTTCCATCTCAAATACAAACATACATGCTCATTATTAGACACAGAAACAAGGTATAACAAATGTTCCATGGAATTATCTAATTATAAGATATCCTATTGACAGACATTACTTCATAATACATAAAACAACTTCAGAGGTATTATAAAAAAAATTAAATATAGCACCACTGTACAAATATTACCAAACAATGCTCAAGAGTGGCCAAGCATATATGTCTGAAATGCTGCTTTTTCAAAACGAAAAAAAAAAAAATCCTGATTTTCTAATTCCATATCATATTCCCAAAAATACCAGCATGATTTGTGGTGGCAACTCATCATAAAATGAATAACATTCATATAGAACATTAGTGGAAGGATACAAGAATGTGTTTACCTCTGAAGACATTAAGTGGGATCCTAAGGACAATAAGTTAAATTTTAAGGGGATCTGGAAGTATATAAGCATCTACTTATGCACCCAAGCCTGGAATGAGTTACAATTCGAACTCTTTCATCATCTACACAAATTATAATCTAACAAAGCAAAGATCAGAAGATTCAATTGTGTCTAATAGAGTAATGACCAATAAATACCAGCAAACAGACTGGGTTATTCAGCCCCTTCACATCATGTGTCAAAAAACAAAATATGGCATGTTGATTTAAGAAAGATGAAGGCACAGTATATATTACTTGCACAACAAATAAAGGTCAAAGATCAATAGCTCAGGTGTTCAAGCCTGTAAATTGACACTTTTAAAGAACCTATAATATACTACCCAGATTTTTAGCAAATAATTATAAAATTTATTAAGAATAGGAAAGCAAGAAAAAAATACAGCCAATAACCAAAAACGTGCCAAAAAGCTGAAAAATAATTCAAAAAGATCAAAAGAATATAAAGTAGCTACCCAAAATAACTCTCATATATAGAAACCTCATTTTTTATTGATGTATCAACAAAGATGTTAGAAGGCCTTGATGGATACTGTTTGGGGTACCATGGTAATTCAGACACATGTAGGGTCTTCCAAGACAAAAAACGGTGACCATATTAGTTCATTCTGGACCTACTGGAATGAGTTATTCCATTACAACTACTCACTACATGGCTTTTGGCATGTCTCAGATTTACAGCCATCTAAATTAAGTGGAAGGAGATTCACAGGTGATGGTTAGGTAGATGAAGCATGGAAATGACAATGCTTAATAAGCTAAGGCTTCATTTGGTAAGAGTGCAAATGCAAATATGTACAGTGCAAATACCAATATGTACAGTTCATGAAAATGCAAACTTGGTTTGGTTTTGCATTGATAAATTCTGCATTCTTTCCAAATATACATGGTTGTGGTGGGTACAAACACAAATTTCAAGACTGGAATCTGTCCCTTTTACAATAACCAACTTATGGAAGCAAGCTTTGCTCCCATTTTGAATGCAAACATGTCAGAAAAAACAAATTTGCTGTCATTTTCATTACAAAAAATATATTCTTACCATATGCCTGCAAAACCGAACCGGAGTACAAATTTGCTTCAGTTCAGCATTTGCACTCTTATCAAATGCAACCTAATGCACTCTTGTTGCCTACAATGGTAGATTGAGGGATTAGGTAAATGTAAAAAAGGGAAGCCGAAGGAACATAATGGTTATATCAATATATGCTTATATGTATTTCTTCTTCTGTTGTTGTTGTTGTTAGTGGTGGTGGTGGTGGTGCGAATTGATGAAGTATGCTGTTCTTTTCATAATTAATAAAATCTTCATGGATATATGAATGATCAAAAGAAAGTTTGAACGCCTTGATATCCATTGAAATAAGATGTGGTGAGAAGACCTCGAGTGCAATTGATACTACATATTTTTATGGAGCTCTTGGTAGAAGGCAGTGTGATCAAATATAATTGCATGTTGTAGTTTTGTTTTTATCAGTAATTGCAGATTGTAGTTTTATTTGAAAATTAGATTTTTTTTTTTGATAAGTAAAATGAGATTGGAATTTGCTTCATGTTTTTTCTTTAAAACAGAATACTGTTTTTTCTTACATCTAGGAAGCACAGTTATGAGATCAAAGAGTTTTATGTGAAAATTAGATTGGATTTTTTTTTTTTTTTGATAAGTAAAATGAGATTGGAATTTGCTTCATTTTCTTTAAAACAGAATAATCTTTTTTCTTACATATAGGAAGCACAGTTATGAGATCAAAGAGATCAATAAACAAAGGAATTATATTTGCAGTATATAGGATTTTAGAACTTGTGTCAGACAAACCACATAAAAGAAAACTATGTCCTCGACATTTGATTAATATCTTATATGTATATCTATTGGGTAAACCCGTAATTAACAACAACAACAAGAAGAAATCAAAACGTTTGTGTTGTGTAAAGAATATGTGCCTAGTTTCCAACTCATCATTAAGAAAAATGGAACATATTTCCATAAAACTAAATCAGATAGGAACTGGTCTAAATATCCACATCTATCCTATATACCAAAAACTTTCAACGATTTAAATTTCAATTTCAGAAATGGAAAAAAATAATATCAGATTTTAGTTTGAAACTTAAAGAAAATATTAAACATCTAAAATAAAAACTAAAAAGTCATTTTGTCTCTTTCGATAATTTCCCATTGTTTCTTATTCTTTCAATTTCTCCTCCATTTCAATCTCAACTTTCCTGTTTCTTCCATCTATCTATATTTACTGACTGATATCCTATTTCATACCAAAAAATTATAGGAGTTTTACATCTGATGTAAATTTCGTTCTATTTATCCTTTAAATCAGAACAAAACATAGAAGTCTGAACATTCTAGTGAAGTTTTAATCCTCAATTAAGTTCAAATTAAAGCTTCATAGATTCATTATTATCCTTATTTTTCTACTTATGGAATTGTTTATATAAAGGCTTCCTTTTAATGAAATTAAAGAAAAATCAATGTGCATATACTTGTACATGCATATATGCGTCTGTATGTGTAGTGTAAAAGTAGAGAAAAGAAAAAGAAGCATGGGCATCTTCCCCACTGACAAACAAAAGCCTATAATTGCCCAAAACCTCCATGAAATCAAGACTGACTTAGAAGGACCTGAGCTCAAGAATTTGGCCTTTTCTTCAATTTGATAACTGGAGTAAGACAGACCAAAAGCCGCCCAGAATTGGGCCTAACCATTCTCTAACCAAGTAGCAGAAATATTCAACACACATAGTTTATTTTCACCTACATGCCATTGTTCATGTAAACTCAAACTCATACCAATCACCCATTTCAGAAGATTAGACAGAAATGAGTAGATTATTGACACAGATGTACAATGAAAAACACTAAAACATATAATGCATACAGAAGACACACCATGCATCTTTACTTGATACATGCAAGCAAAACAACTAATCAAGATTATAACCAATTCCATGGAATTGGGTAAAAATCAAGGAACAGCAATAAAAGGGTTTCTGCAACTCACCAAGCGCAGCCAACTGGGCTTTCTTAGAAGACAACGAAGAAGAACCCGACGACTGCTCCTTCTTTGACAGAAGAAACGACGAAGGTGAAGTAACTTTCTTTGCAGAAGACACAGAGGATGAGGCCGTGGCATTCGCAGGTGCCTCGGACGTACCGTACTTCCTCGGTCTACCTCTCTTCCGGCGAACTGTCTCGGGTGGAGCGGAAGCAGCAAGGGGGGCTCTTCCGGTCACCGAATGTGGAGGGAAAACGAAGGGAGTCCCACCCTCAGACGACGAGTAGTGGCCGGACGACGCGTTTGGGTGATGTGGGTTGGCAAATATTCCGTTGGTGGAGGCGGAAGTCGGGGTGCTTGTGGTGGTCGTGGCGCTGTGGTGGTGGGGAAGATGCTGCTGCTGGTGATGGAGGTAGTATGAGCTCAGGCCGCTTTCGTTCCCCTCCATGAGAGAGAGAGAGAGAGAGAGAGAGAGAGAGAGAGTAAGGAGAGATGTAGGATTTGGATACTCGATTGTGTGTTTTTCATTTCCTTTCTGTTTTGGATTTTTTTGGTGATGGTTGAGAATAGTATATCAGCGCTCACATGTGTACAGAAAAATCGAATGATCGATCCAGACCGTTCCACTGTGGACCCACCTAACTAATCTCGTGATTAGATGGTTAATGGGATGGTTAAAGATCACACCATCATTAAAATAATTCCAATTCTCAAGTAGGGTCCACAGCAAGACCCACTAAAGGATGGCAAAGATTTACTTGATGCTCGTAGCAATATATTCAGTACAATATTATTAATTTATTACGGGAATATCACATGTTGCTTTGAAATATGTGATTTTCACTTTTTTAGAAAGACCCCCTTGTTTTATGGGGTGAGTGACAATGACCCCTATACTTTAATTTACAACAAAGGCCGCCCTAAATTTTAGCCATTAGACAAAGACCCCTTTCCGTTAGTATTCCGTCAGTTATCTTTGAAAAAGATTCTCACCTTACTATTTAAAGTTTTATAAATATCCAAACTACCCTTCTCTAATTTATTTTACCTTTTTCTTTAATTTATAAAATCATCTTATCTTTTTAACACTCAACAACTTAGCGCTTATAAGATCCACCTCCTCTTTCTTTTGTCCTCACCGAAAACCCATCTTTCATTTTCAAAATTAAATACAACAATAAAAACAACCGGCTCACAACCTTTCCCCATCACCAACACAACCTAGAATTGCCGCAAACACTAGTCACCACCAGCTTCATTTTGCAAGAATGCCATGCCCTTTCCTAAGTCTATCTTGAGTCACTACTTGGAATATCGGGTAACTGTACTGATCCCTCCCCACGAAAATCCATTTTTTGATGACTTGTCTTTTTATAGCCACTGCTCTGGTTAGAAATACAACCAGTATGAGCCCCATAAAGCCTCCATCCATCCCCTGATTAAATGAATTACAAAAAAAGGGAAAATATGGTTTTTCTTATTCTCCCTATCCTACTCGGGTAAAGATGGCTTAGACGCTTAGTTGAAATGAAATTTGTCTTTGTTTGGATTTGGTGGAATTTCTCATGTTTGGACAAGTTGTAGTGATGATTATCAAAAGTTCTTTCAGGTGGAAGAAAAAAGACTCAAAAACAAGGAAAACGTTGGAAGATAGAATTTGAGAACTCGATCAAAATCTCTAGGGTGGTATGAACTATGTTGTGCTAATTTCGGGAGTCCCTCTCGATTTTGTTCGATTAATTAATCATTTTTTTTTCTTTTATAATTTTTCATACAATGTAGCGAGGGTCCAAAAAAATTAACAGGAACTTAGCAAATAATCTATTTAAGATTGAAGATTAAACGGGGATTGATTATTCTGAAAGGGATGGTAGAATCCATCTGATGATGGACGCCAAAACAGTTGCAGAATGGGTGGGCGAATTTCAAAAATTTTCTACCTACCTTTCAACTGGAAATCACATTCCCTAATTTTAGAATCAAGATTCAAGGATCCTACTTGAAGCAGAACCGAATCAGATCTGAACCAAAAGTGAAGGGAGTAATTATACCTGATCCAGAGAAAAAGATTTCTCCCAAAGTTGGTGTTCATGCCCAAAGAAGAAACCAAGATATGCTCCTACTGAAAATGACACAGCAACTGTGGAACAGAACCAGCAGGTGCGTCCTATACACTGAATCCTTCATAAGAATCCTTTGGATGATAATGAGCACCAAACCGAATCAGCCTTTCAACAAAGACTGATATCAAGAACTATTCTTGATCTTTCTCTGACAGAGAAAACGAACTGTGACAGATGGATGGCGGCTGCAACTGGAGGAAACTAGAGAAATAGATGGCGAACTGCTTTTCTTTTCTCTAGGGTTTCTGAGATCCTATCTCACAAAACTGCAGAGTGTGTTATGTCTCCCTAGAGTTCGAATTCATGTAATTCGATTAGGGTTTCCTCCAATTGCTTCATGATTAAGAAAGGATTTTCTGATCATATCGAGAGTTGCCCCCTTATCCAAATCAGTATTTGGATTAGGACTCTTCTTAATCCTATCTATAGATTAGATAAGCTTTTGGGCCTATCCTAATCTCAAATTCGCCCCTTATTAATGACTGATCAAATCAGCCCAGTTCGAAATGGGCTTTAGGCCCAATAAGGTTATGTGCTCAAAAGTCTTCCAAACTTCTGCCCAGTTGGGCTTCTTTATATGACGTGGGACCCAAGCATTGATCTACACACCAGCCACATGGGTTCGGCCCAGCCTCTGTTACAAGGCCTGGCCGAATTCACTAGAGAGCCCAATAAACCCCCTGAACCCATCATATGGACCCAATGGGCCCAACACTTACACTAAGTGGTCCTTGGGCCAAACCATCTTATAAAAACCCAAGGACTGTGGGCAGGTGCAATATTAGCCCATCAGGTGTTATGACAAATAGCCTTACACTTAACCTCTCAGCCCACTGTTAGACAGTTTTGTATGCCCTTAGCTTCAATCAGAATAATGTACTTTATGACTATTGTAAATGAATTAAAATACATATTTGATTCATGTTCTCTTGGTATGTTTCTGTGTAATACCCTTAAACTGGACACTTAATGAGACTCGTGTTAGTTTACAATGTTCACAGCCAGTGGGTCGGTCTGGGAGACCTATCCTGATAAGGCTGATACTGTTGTGCCACCAAGTCGGTTGGGGTGGCCTGTCTCAGCTGCCAGGGTGAGACCCTAGGCACATACAGTGTAGGATTAATTGAATCTTTGAACTAGACCAGATTTCCAGTACTGCCCTGGACCTTGGAGATTGATGGGCA